TTGATCATTCTTTGTTTGAAGTTGAGAGTGTCTGAGAATATAATTGCTACCCCTGCTTTTTTCTGAAGTGCTGGGGCATGTAGTATTGTTTTCCATCCTTTGACTTTCAGCCTGTGAGTTTCTTTATGAGTTAAATGTGTTTCTTGTATGCAATATATTGCTGGGTTTTGTTTCCTAATCCACTGTGCCAATTTATTTCTCTTAATTGGTTAATTGAGTCTATTTACATTGGTGGTTATTATTGAGATGTGTTGACTTACGATTGACATGTTATTTGAATGCTGTTTTTGAACTGTTTTTTCTTCCTGTGTTTAATTGTGTGTCCTGTTTAATGGGTTTCTTCTGTTCTTGTTGGTGGAGTTCTGATCATTTTGGTCTCTCTGTAGAACATCTTTCAGTAGTCTGTGTAGGGTTGGTTTTGCCATCATGAAATTCTTTAGTTGTTCTTTGTCATGAAAGTATTTCACTTCTCCATCAAACTTGAAAGAGATTTTTGCAGGGTATAGTAGTCTGGGTTGAAAGTTGTTTTTGTAGAGGACTTGAAGTACTCTGCTCCATGCTCTTCTTACCTTCATGGTTTGTGAAGAGAAGTCGGCCGTAATTCTGACGGGTTTTCCTTTGAATGTGATCTGCTTCTTTTCTCTAGCAGCTTTAAGTATGATATTCTTGTGTTGGATTTCTGGGATCTTGACTATTATATGTCTTGGTGTGTTTTTAATTGGGTTGAAGTTATTTAGAGTTCTGTATGCTTTGGTTACGTGATCATCAGATTGTTTCCTCATATTTGGGAAGTTTTCTGCTATTACTTCTGCCTATATTCTTTTTATATCATTTGTATTGATTCCTTCATTCTCATTGATTCCTATTAGTCTCAGATTAGAAAGAGATCCTTTCTTACCTTTTTACTAGCTGCACCAGCATCTTCAAGATCTGAAACTCTATCTTCTTCACTCAAATGGTTTTTCAGGCTTGTAATGGAGATTTTAGGGTCCTCTACATCTCTTAGACTCTGCTTCATGTGATCTATTTCTTTTCTGTATTGCTCATTCAAGGAATCCATCATTTTTTTAATTTCCTGTATTTTTTATCAATGTCTTCTTTAGAAGCAGTTATTAATTCTTTTACTGCAGAGTTTTTAACAGATTGGGTTTCTTCTTTATGTTTCTGTATTTGATTCTTTAGTTCA